GCATTGAATCAGAACAAAGTCAGTGGTACCTCCATGATCTTAGAGGTGGATGACATATACGGATTTTTCATGTATGCAAATATATGATAACTATAAATCTTCTTTCCTTTAAGTGTTTTTAATTGATTTCTGTCTATGTAATGTTCTTTCTCAGGAGTTAAAGGCAGGGATGATCAATGGGCAGCTCCTTCTTGATTTCCTGTGCCAGTCTGGGCCTCAGGTGTTGGGAGTGGACGCCCAGGTTCTCTGCTCCGAACGTACAATGTTTGCCGAGAAACTAGGCGCCGTCAGACTACAGTGGCTGCACCTTCAGAGAGAGCTGGAGAGCCAGGTCTGTTCTTCAGCTGCCAATATACAGTAAAAGACCACAACCTGTAGAAGCTGAAATTAAATGATCCGAATGTAACCTTCTCTTTATTTTCTGGTCTAATATTTTAGATATCACCTAGATATCATATCTAGGATAAGCTAGCAGTTGTATACAAACAGGAAAAGGATTTGTTTTGGGCTATGCTAGCCTGCTAATGTGTGAAATGGATGTAAGTTATATTGACAAATAATCCAGCGGAAGTATTTTAATGTTTTGTCAAAACTGTTTTATCAGCACAAATATAGACTGATGGTTTATATAGTCAGTGGAACCCATTAGTCAGACCATAAACATAATTCAATTTATGCCCACAACAATAGAAAAAACTTGCACTATGTGACTCTTCAAATTGTCTAAAAATAAATAACTTTTCTGACTTTTATTTCTACACATGAATCAGCCACTGTTTGGTTTTTGTCCCCTTCAGATTTGTGAAGTTGAACAGATACATCACACTTGTACAGACAGAGAGAGGCAGTTACATCGTCTTAACGGCTGGATAGAACAGCAGAAAAAGCAGCTGAATCAGTGGAGACAGCCCACCAGTCGAACTGTGGCTCGTAAGGCTCTACTGGAGTTGGAGGTAAACTAACAGGATGTAAGCAGGTGCACATTTGAACCGTCTCTCTTGCTGCTGTCCTCTGATCTTTGACTGCTCTGGTTTTCTTCCAGGCTGTTGTGGGAAAAGGAAAGGAGGAGGCTGCAGCTTTGCAGGAGTTGAAAGCCCCTCGAGTGCATGTTGAAAAGGAAGAGGATCACCCTTGTGATATCTCCTTCTCTGGCCAGACAGAGAGTATTTGTCATGCTTGTGGAGATCTCTGTCAACAGGTAAAAAAAAAAAAATAAAAAAAAAAAATATATATATATATATATTAATTTTTTTTTTGGTAAAAGTAACACAAAATTGATTACACATAAAAAGCATATGCTACAAGTCAGCAAAATCAATTAATCACTCAAATCAGCAAATATGCTATTTGTTATATGTGTAGCTCTTCATGATAGGTACAAACCATTAATGCCCTCTTACTCAACTGTAGTCCCCAAATATTTGAAAGTAACAAGACGGAGCATTACCAAACAGCATTCTGTCTTCCTTTATGGTAAATTGCAGATGGAATCTCTGAGACCAGCTCTACAACAGACTGTGGAGGAGTGGAGTTGTTTTGACAGCGATCTGAGGGAGGTTTCTCTGCACACCACTAGGTTGCGTTGTGCTCTACAGTATCAGCCGCTGTTCTCACTGAAGCAGGCAGAAGGATACAAGGACCTTCTCCAGGTGAACAAAAGCACTGACCATCCATCTTGTACACATGTGCACATGAACGCTTTACAGCTGCAATAATCACGTATATCATAACAATGATGATCACATTAATTACAGAAATGTTGCTGCTTCAACCCCTTAAGCCTTTTAGATTTTGGATCAACTTGCTTGACAGCTTTTAAGCTACACTTTAGACAAGTAAAATGAAGGGTTTTTTGTTACTGAGTTGTAGCTGTATGAATTCTGTTTTGACAGATGGTGTGTATGACAAGCAATGACAGTACTTGCTAGTCACTACACTTAGGTTTTGGGGAAGTAAATGCACCTCTGAAGTGAAAGTGTTTTTTGTGCACAGCAACTCCAGGAGAAGGTCAGAAAAGGGGAGCAGCTTTGGGCATCCTTGGACAAATCCTATCAGAGTCTAGTGAAGACTCTTCATCATGGAACAGCACAGGCACTGGAGGATCAAATGGAAGAAGAGCGAAAACGGTCAGTGACCTGACATTTCCAAAATGGAATCAGTGGATCAAATTCAAGACCAAAAAAAAAAAGTTTAAAAATCACAGTTTTAGTATTTCAGGTGGAGTGAAAAACATTGAATGCATTAGATTAGTTGAAAAATGCATTTCACAAAGCTACAAACAGGGCTGTTTACTTAGCTCATGATATGTTGAAGTTTTGGAAATACACGGTGTCAGATGATAGCATGTATACATAATATCTGTTATCTAAAAATATATTACTGCTACCATTGTAAGATATCTTTTCCCCCAGAAATGGGTACATCAGGAGAGTAAAACTAGTGACAATGTTATCTTAAATGCATATACCGGTATTGTGTGCTCTTCTAAAACTGAAGAGGTGATTTATGTAGTTGTTGAGATAAGAGTACCAAGCTCCGATTATGTCCGTTCCATTCTGCTGTTATTTGTACTTACTTACTCACAGAAACATACAGTAGATTTATGGATCTTTATCCATCTTTCTATCATGTATTCAGATTTCACACACTGTCATTTTCATTTTAAAAATGCCAATAACACCATACACTACACCTTAATCAGACAATTGTAGCTTTAACGTACATACATTATAGAGCTATATGTTAGTTATAAAGTACATGTATTGTGTTCATGTCAGGTGGCAGGACGTGGTGCAGGAGCTAAAAGATGAGCACATGAAGACCGGCGAGACACTTTCCCTCTGGCAGGAGTACATTCACCTCTCTGATCAATGCTCCCTTCACCTCCAAAACCTGTCGCATCAGTGTGAGGGGCTGTCGAGAGCTTCATCTCAACAGGACACTCAGGCCGTGGTTCACTCAGTGGAGGTGAGTGCAGGGTGCTTTCAGCAGAGTTTGAATATGCAATCTAGTGTAGTTGTGTACACCAAAATCCAGTGATTGTTGATCAGCTGATAATGATAATAATGAACAGATAACATGTAAAAAAATAAATAAATAAATAACACTGATCACAGCTTTTACAGCCTTTTGAAATGCAGTGTTGTTAGTTTAAAACATCCACATATATCAACAGGACATTGTACCACGTATTTATACATTCATGTCAGCAACACCGACTTGTTTACTTGTGATTTTGATGTATTTTAAGCTTTTCTAATAGAGGTGACAGAACCAGCTGGATAACATGCGTATTAGACTGTTGACTTGTTTTTTAAACGGTAATGCAGTTTCATAGAATTGTCAATTCCCAGCTGATTCAGAGAGGCTATGCATTACCTACACAGTCGTGTTTTTTCAATGGCAGGCCTCCTATTCTCAGAAAGGAGCAGACAACATGTACTATTAGGCAGAATTATCAGTAATAGTCTCTCTTGTTCTTGTACCAGCGTAGTCTAGATGCTGCATTAAGTGTTGTTTTGCATATTCATGCAAAAAAAGTCTTAGAGCCTCCCTTCATGTCTTTTTTTCTCATTCCATCAAAAATGCACTGAAAAGTGTTCCACTATTTGTTCAAAACAGAAGATTTCTGTTCCATTTCCAAATGCAGCTACTGTGTTGTGACCTTTTAAGTTTTTTAAAGTGCATTGATGGAAAGTAAAATGAAAAAGTAAATACTAAATTATTAAACTCAATTAAAGGTCCAATTAAAACATTCCTTCATCTAACTGTATTTTTTCTGTCTCACTCATTAATGCCAGAAGTTGCAGGATGCTGCTAAGGATTTGCAAACCAGAGTGGGAGATGTTCTCGCAGCTTCCAAGCCTCTTATTGGCCGTCTAGAACCACTGGCCGCAAATTTAATCCAATCAGAGACCAGACTGCTGTCACGTGATGTCCTGCTGTTGAGCCAGGCAATGTCAAGAAAAAAGAAAAGTCTTCAGGTGAGGAAATAAGTCACAATATCACCTTAATTTAACAATAGCAGAAAATAACATAACAAAAAGCTATCTATCATCAAAACTGAATCTATTAAGTGCCTAATGAATGGAGACAAGTTTCCATAAATTTTAACGTTCATATTTCACAAATCCAGGATGATAATAACATGATCACATTTCTGTGTCCAGGAGGATTTGAAACAACAGAAACAATTTCATGCTCAACTGGAGGCTCTTGAAAAGCGACGCGTAGCAACCAGCTTAAACTCAAGGCCAGCTTGAATCACACAGAGTCTGTGGAGGTTGGTCAGAATCCCTATTATTTCCCATGAATTAACTTTTTCTGTATGTTCCTTCTGTGCTATTTATCTTGGATTAGATTTATCTTTAAATCTAAAGCAGAGATTTTCAAACCATGAAGGACAGTTGAAGGGTGGCACAGATTGAGAGACGTGAAGCATGCGTTTCCACTTTGAAATAATAGAAGCAGACTTCAGAACTTGCCGTAAAATAATGTTTTTTGGTTTTCTTCAGTATCAAAGTAATCCAGTAATGTCTGTACATACATGGGGGCACTGCAAACAGGAACTGCTAAAAGCTAATTCACCCTACTTTTTATGGTGCCAATTTGTCAAAATGTAAATACATATAGGCCAAAAAACAGGTCTCAAGTTGTACCGTATACCCCACAGCTAACTCAGTGACTACCATGGCAACATTACACTTCCTGTCTACATCTCGCAAAACCTCCTAAATTATGGGAGCTGTAGTTCCTAAATTTAGAGCATGATTATGCCCCAAATACAAGTAAGACATTAATAGTAATAGGAGCGACAAAATCCATTAATACCAAATTTTATCATTTACTTTTATCAGTATTGATATTGATATTCCAGAGGATCAGAATGTTGAGTCTTATAGGTGTGAGTCTGTGTGGGGTGTTAAGGGGGCGCAGGATAAAAACCCCTGATCTAAAGCAATTTGAAAATGTGCCGTGTTTTTTTTGTCTTGTGCAGCAGGTTCTCTTGGAGCTCAGTGATCTGTTTCCGTCACTGTTTGATGTCAGGGAGATGAGTGGCTACGTGACCCTTAACAAAAATTACACAGAAAGACTGCACATGCTCAGCAGGCAATGGGTTGAAAGCATGACTCGCTTGTCTGACATGAACAGGTGAGAAAGTTCAATTCAAAAAGATGCACAAATAAAAATCCATACTGTGCAATTGTGTTGTGTATTTCCTCATTGTTGCTTTTTGAAGGTTCACAGAACATTTTGCTAAAAAAAGAGATATAGCCATTTTTTTTTTTTGTTGGCGACCTTAAGTTATTCTGGCTTTGTGCAGAATGTGTGCTATTTACAAGATGTGCAAGGCTGTAATGACTTGAAAACGCGTAACCACTCCTTCAAGATGAGGAGTACAAAATGTTAGAGCTGTAACATCAATGTATAGTTTTATTTTCTACTGACATTCTAAATAATAAACAATTATAATGAAAGATTGTGCCTTCTTTTCTGATAGAATACAGTGGATGTGTGCATTTTTAAAGTATTTTTTTCTCTCCAGAGAGCTGCAGGCTGAGCATCAGCATTCTCAGAGCTTTCAGGAAAAGTGTAAGAACCTGACGTCTATCCAGACGAAGCTTGAGGAGCAATTCATCTCCAAAAAAGATGAAAATTACTCCAGTCTCCAAGAGATGCTGACTGTCCATCAGGTACAACACACTTTTCTGAGACATTAATTAGATTTGTATCTGACAAACCGGAACCAATGTCCAAATGGCATTAGGACTTCACTTCTGAAATCCTCTGGGAATTAGGGACACAGAAATGACAAATAACTCATCTTACTCAAATTTAAATGATTATAACCCTGTTAACTGGCCAGCTATTCTCATTTGTTGTGAGAAAACTGAAGTGAAATTGTTTGTTGGCTTTCCCTCCCTTACATCTGCAGATTAGTCTGAACTCTAGATAAACAGATAATCTGTATACTGCTCATGTGTTTTGGATGACAAGCATGTTGACAAAGTTTGGTAATTAGGCTTGCAGTAGCTAAAGTAATGACCTCATCAGCACAAGTGCTTGCCTAATGTGTCACTGTGAATATGTCAGGACATTAGGAAGCTTGAGTGCCATTTGCTTTAAATCAGTCAAAGTTTAAATAGAGATTTGATCTTTTTTTTCTCACTGTGTTCTTTCTCCTGTTGTTATCTCATGTTCCCACAGAGACTTGAGGTTGTAATGAATATTGGACATCAGATTCTGCAGGGTATTCTCTGTCATGCCGTCGAGTCTGTGGAAAAAGAAACGGGAGAGAAAAGGTAAGTTGTAAGTAAACATCTTGGAAGAAATTAAATGGCAGATTAAGACTTAAAAACATTTTAAACATGTAATAATTTTAATGAGCTTTTAGTTGGAGAGTCTAAAATAATGAGACCGCTTTATCCTTTAGTCTCTATTTTACCTTGGTTCTAAGTATACTCAGTTCTAGGGGAATTTTGTGGGGGACTTACAGTTAAGCTTAGCAGCTATACCGGTTACGTACAGGCTGTCTTCTGGTACGCTTCCACCTGCACTTACTACTCACAGCTTTATGTTGGTTTTAGAGAAAATCTAAATCAAAATACTTCCGCACAGTTTCCGTGTTTCTCATTACTCCACAGAACATCAATATTATTCAGCTGGGTGTACTGCAAGAGAAAAACTGTGGTAGTAATCTGTGTTATCAGGGCATGTTGATTTGAAGTCTTCATCACACCTGTCACCTAATTAGATTTGAGATTTTCCAGAAGCATTGCTTTCTTGTAAGAATCGCACATTCTGGGTATACTCCGACACACAACAAAATGCAGTGTGTGCAGCTATCCTTAAATCATTTTGTGCATTATTTGGAAAACTTTTATATTGTTTCAAAGGAGTTAAGGAACGTTCTTGTCTTTCCCTGCTGTGATTGCTACTTAAGGCTATTAAACAGGCTTCAAAATCCTGTTGATTTTGTGTTGATTTAGAAATGACTCTGGATGAACTATGACAGACCCATTTGTAATTTTTTATCTTTTGTTTTGTTGCCTCTACCATTGTTATGTGATTTTTTTTGTTGTTGTTGTTGTTGTTTACAAGGAAAGTGTATTATGGTAAATTCCATTTCAAAAACCTTATATCCCCAAAGAGACAATTGCCAACAGATGTCAACAGTTATAACGGTGTTAACACAACAAGCTAAAGCTCTTGTGTTGTTCCTTGCACAGATCTAAGCTCATGGCACAAGTGACCTGTATGAGGGAGAGCTGGTTGAACTCTGTGGCTCTGGCTGACCAGCACAGGTCCCTGATAAAAGAACAACTGGGCCAGTGGAGAGTCTACCATCATGGCTTGAAACTTTTGTGGAAGTTGATGATGGACGTTGACCCTTTGTTGCCCCCTGCTGGACCTGCTCTCTGTACACTGCATCAGCTACGGAGCTGCACAGATAATTTTCAGGTTAGTATTTATGGATACCAGGAAAATGTACCATACTCCTAATTATGTCCGTCAGCTTAATGGACAAAGCTTCGACTCTTTTGCAGTGGCGGGAAAAATACAATTGTGCCAGATTTTTTAATGTATTCAGAATGAATAACAACAAGCTGTGTCTCCCTACATCTTTCACAGTGTGTGGAAGACGCTCTGGGTTTGCACTCCACTGTGTACACCCAGACTCTGGAGGCTGGCAGGCATTTATGTAAAACCATGACGGGGTCTGAGTGTCAGAGCCGACTGCAGTCAGACCTCCAGGCCATACAGGAGGCCTGGGAACAAACCACTTCACTGCTGGAGAGGAGAAGAGCCCTAATTAGCACAACAGTTCAGGTAACAGTCATATTTCCATCAAAGCCCATGACTCCATATTTATTATTTTTAATATTTAAGATTCATTTCCAATGTTACATTTGACAAAACAAGTTTATTGTCAATATATTGTCTTAACATTACTGCATAATATAGAAATATTCAGAAATAGTTTTTCAGTACTGCACAGAAATATAACGCTGCTCTGCTGTGGATGTTAGTTGTCCTGGCAGCAGAATCTAGTGAATCATGGAGATTTTAGCTCAAAATTTTAGCGTATCAAGTACTGACAAAACCCAAAAGAAGAGCATGTGTTACACTTAACAAGGACGTAGGTTGTGTCAGCTTTGGAAGACCCATATCCAGAATCTGATCCTACACACGCACACACACGCCACAAGACTGATCAAAGAGAAGCTGAAATCTATCCACACACACAGACACACTCGTGTAGGAGAAAAGCTGCCACCATTGCTAAAGGTTTTTTTTTTATTTGACTTTCAGGCAGAAATGTTGGACAAATACTGTTTGGTTAATACTTTAAATGCCATTGCTGATATTTTAGTGAAATGGCGTTTTACTCCAAGCTCTGGCTGATCACTGATCAGTCTGAATTACAGAAAGGGCTGCCCAGCTTCACGAGCTGTGTTGATTAGAGCAATGTTTTGATGCCCAGGCTGAGCAAGGTCAGGGAAAGTTGTGTTAACCCCTTTATAAACTAATCTTAATCCACCTGGGGAAAAGAGAAATGCCTCTGAGCACATGTCGAAGATCACACAGAGAACAGCATTACTGGACAAAGTAGAACTCGCAGCAAGAGACTAACTTGGTCATATATGGTCAGAAAGGTGGTGTAATTGTTACAATTTACATTTGGATTTATTGAGCTAATGACTATACTTTTTGCTTTAATAAAACTGTCAGATGTTTGACTCCAGAATCTCATTCTTCTGTGTGCTGCTGATTATTTAGAAGTATTCTCAGTGTCAGGATGGGATAACCAGCATCATGTCTGAACTGGATGAGCTGAAAGTCATGATAAAACAGACGCTGCCTGAAAGACCGTACAGCTCAGAGGACAAGGAACACCTTCAGGTAGTTACAATCCAGGTAGTCTGTGTATAACCATGACTGTATTCCTTATAAGATGATGATGATATATCCATAATATAAAGGAATGGAAAAATGTTGTTTCACAGCCATTTTTAAAGAAACTTTAAACTTTATCAACCTTTATCAACTGGGCCCTTAAAAGAGAACACTGACACAGAAATTATCCCTTTGTTCCTGGTACATGGGTGGCTTTGGTGCTCCATGCCAAACTACAGCATACATACTATATGTTGAATGGTAATACAACATTATTCAAAGTACTGTGAGAAATATAATCTTTCCCTACTAAATAAAAATTGTAGTTAAATTAAACTTTGCATACTATTGAAACAAGGAAGGTAGTTCAAAACAGTGTTTTAACTGTTACTGTAATGTATTTTATACAAATCAGTCAAGACAAAGCTGCCAGTATCTACAGTTCCTTATTTCCTCAATTTTAGAATAATGCTAGTGGCTAACAAGGTCAGAGCTACCACTGAAGACACTGAGATCATGTCCTTTGTATTTTGCAGGCTGATTCCAGTGATTTACACTCGATATATTTTTAAAGTTTACTAGGTAGATGTATTTTAGCATTTTACAACACATCAGGTACTTTTGTATCTCTTGCCAGAAGGCAGCATGTTGAAGAGTCTGTGGCTGAGTGGGTACTGTCTTTTAGTATCCTCTGGGCTCTGCGTAGGCACCTCATCTCTCAGATATCACTGATGCTCGGGAGATGGGTACCAATGATCTTCTGAGCAGTTTTAATCACCCGCTGGAGAGCCCTCCTGTCCTGGGCCACGCACATCCCATGCCAGTTTGTAATGTTTCTAGTCAGGATGCTTTCTATTGCTCCTCTGTAAAAGTTAACAAGAACTTGCTAATGCTAATATAATTGAATAGAAAAAAATTAAAATGCATTATTCCAAAATCAATACACTATAGTGACCATGTACTGACACTTAGACTCACTTGGTATTTCTAAAGTCCTAGCTATGTTCCTGCAGCAACAATGTTAGTCCATATCAACACAACCTTAGCACAACACTGAAAAGACACTTTATATTAACAGAGCAGGAATCCCATTTAGCATTTATTTTCTGCAAAATACCAAACATTCAAAAAATCTAAGGCCCAAATTACTTCTCAGTATTCATGTTTGACTTTGTAGAAAAACAGGCACTGAGAACTGACTGTTGCGTAACCTGATATAATAACAGACTTTCCATGGTCTGAAAATTGGTTATCGCACAATGTGTATGAGATTAATGCAGAAAATTGCCAAATACTTTCTAACAAATCAGCAACATGAATCCATTGGAAGAAAACCGAGCAGGTCAGCTGATCTTTAACTGGCCAAAGTTCCCCAATTCCCATCCATGCCTGCACTCAATCCTACCACAGAGTGCCTCTGAGTTTACCCCCCTTTCCCTTATTTAATACTCCCATGCTTTCACTCCCCTCCCCCTTTCTGCCCCTTCTACCCTCCCCCTGTCCCGTCCATAGCCCTTTAATCTGGACGGTCCAAGCGAGGAAAGAGGGAGAGAAGCCTGAACACACAGCTTGTGCATGGCCGTCTGACAGGGTGTTAAAGTGCTTGTGTATGTGCGTGTTATGCAGGAGACGGAGCTCTCTCTGCAGCGTCTGGCCAGTGGATTGAGGGAATTAACCACCATGAAGACGGACCTGTCCCAGTACGTTGCGGCCGGTGACTCGGCTCTGCTGGAGCAGCAGCTGGAACAACTCACAGCCAATGGGAAGAGCTGTGTATGAAGGTGAGCACTGATAAAAAAGAAATGGAGAGAAAGACAGGCCATATATTGAACCAGAGAAAGTAAGAAATTGTAGAGGGTACAGGTGGAGAGGAAGGATTGGGGGGGAGAGGGAGAGAGAAGGAGGGAAAAGTTGCTACCAGCAGTAACCAGCAGCACAAAGCCTCTGCACCACTGGGGCTGAACACACACACACACTCACACATTCTCTCTCTCATTTGGTTAAGAAAAGAGCTACCATGTGCAGGTTCATGGAGGGAAAATTACACTTTTTTAAATTGGAGGTCTTTCTGCTTGTATCACCTTATGAAGAAATGTGAAGCTTTTTGCAGTTTACATAAATGGAAATACTCACTTGACAGCTCATCAGGTTGTAAATTGCTCCTGACTCAGACTCGCTGTGCTATCACATGAAATACTCGAACAGAACAGACTGTTCTTTCTGCAACTGCATTGTTGGTGAAAGTAGCTCTACTGTATACACACAAGTTCAAATTCCTACAGTTAAGTCTTTTGGCTTAAACACAAACCCACTCTTGTTCTTGAAAAAACGGTTATGACATGTTCGCAACGTATTTGTCAGATATTAGGGCCATGGGATGATTTGCAGTCGTGCTAATTGAGTCCCCAGTTAGACTGGCCACTTCCACCTGCTCCTGTCTTGGCAGGGGTTACTGGCATTCACAGATGCAGCAACAGCAACCAGTTTGTCCAGTCATTAGCTTTTCTGTTGCTGTTCGGTCCATCTGTAAGTCTCTTTGTTATCTGTACAATAATGGTAGGTGCTCATCTTAACTACTTAATTCATATGTTTGTCCCAAAACAAACCTGAAACCTGAAACATACTGTCTCAGGAAAGACCTACCAGTCACTTGAGAGTTAAGAATATGAAATGTAAAAGCCTACATTAAGTTTTTTATCGGACTGATAGAACAACTTACTTCAGCCATCACAAAATTGATTATGACAATTCTTTGCTAAACTATTAAATTGCTGGAAAAAATGGTAGTCAGGTTATTTGAGAAATCACTGACTAATTTCAACTGTGAGATCACACAAGAGTTTTCATCCCTATTAATTCCTGGCTGGGGGGCATGGATCTGAGCCACAGCCATTTCCTCTGCATAGTTAACAGGTTGTAGGTGGGGGAAGCCACTGGAATGGGTCTGATGAGCAGATGGCCTGGCTGGGGTAAAGGGATTCAGGGGACAGGCTCTATTGTTCCTGGGGAAGCACAAAGTCCTCATGGGGGGACAGCAGCTCACAAAGCACCCTAAAATTACCCAAAAGGTCCAGCAGTGTTAGTATATTAAAACCAAAGCAGGGCTCATTTAAATCAAATAAATGCCACTGAACAGTAAAATATAGCTGGTTCAAACATGCCCCATGGGCTCGCTAAGCCCTTTAACCTTAAAAAGATCATCAGCCCCCTCTATAGCTATGTAATGGGGTGTTTTATGGCATTAAGCTGTCATTAGGAAAATGGACCTTGTTCATTTTAAACAGTGTCCCTTGGGGATTTCTCTCAATTCAGTTGATTACTGACTCTGCTATTGCTTTAATGTAATGAAAATATTCAGTTCAGTTTTCTGTTTTTAATTCACTTCTGTACCATGTAATCTCTTTAGTTGAACAATACGTATATACTTTACAGATTTTGAGAAGTTTTTTTCAGTAATGTACCAGATTATGCATTCCTATGCACCAAGCTCAAATCTACAAAATATACTGTTGTGTAGTAGAATTAGGTCGGAGTTTCCCGGATACATACGAAGTATCACAGAAAATATCCCTGATTCAGACTGGACTGACATTTGTTAAAATCAAAGGCACTGCTGTTCTCAAGCCTTTGTTTTTGCACCAAACCCAGGACATTTTAAACGTTATGACCATTTTGCCTGCAGCTGTCTATTAATAAAAATTTGGCAAAAAAAGTCAGTTTCATGGTTTGTTTTAGAAACTATAAATGTTTAGGGCTTGGTGTGGATAAATCACCATAATCCCTGGTTTGTCTTTGAAAAACAGTCATCTAGTTACCCTAAAAGAGCATGATTGAGGCAGCAAAGGTTGCTAGTGCAAATATTAAAAAATATAAATTAAAATATTCTTACTGCAGCTTAGCCACAGGTTTCCCACCAGCACTACAAAGGTTTTTATTTCTTTTAAAACAAAGTATTCTAATGGATCATGAATTTGCACCCTGCAGTCATTATTACACCTGTCTGCTCACCATGAAGTCTGTGTGCTGATACTGACTTTGACATTCGTATCCCTGCCATAAAGTGTGCCATAAAATGCCACTTGTATCACTTTCCCAGGTGTCCCTGCGCAGGCAAGAAATTGCAGACCGTCTCAATGCCTGGACCATCTTCAATGACAAGAACAAAGAGTTCCATGATTGGCTGACTCAGATGGAGAACAAGGTGTGCCACAGCGGGGATCTGAGCATCGAGGAAATGGTGGAGAAACTGAAAAAGGTACAAGATCTAAGGAATATTTAAATCTTCCTATCCAATTCATTCTGTAATACCCACAATAAACCTATGGTTTAGGGCATGGTCACCACTTGCGTAGGTCCATCCATACATGAGCAACATGCTGTTTATACCAGATGGTGGCCTGGAATGGGGAATGGCCGCATGCCCTTTGTTCATACTCAACAGTTTTCCTTTCAGTGACTGAAAGCCCTTTGTACCTTACTGTCTCATCATGAGGCATGCTTATTTAGTCAACAAGATAATAATTGGTTTGAACGTTGCAGGATCGTTGTTTTGAACTGTCAGATGAGATCAGAAAATTAGAGACACTTGATAGTCCCTTTTTAATTATGTGTATAGCTGAAGATGGCACTTCCTGGCGATAAGCGACTGCTCCAGGGCATGGAAACAGGTTGAAGTTGAATGAATGGGATGATGAAAATGGGATGCAAGCTCTTGACTGAAGCATCCCTCTTTATTTTAAACTGAACTGAAATCTGCTGCTTTGCTGGTCATTTAAAGTTTTAATTGACAAGCTTATGTCAAAACAAAGCCTACTTACTCTAAAGTGATCACAGATTGGCCAAATAGGTGAACATTAGCTTAAACATGGAGTTTACTAATGTTATGCTTCATGATAATTCATATTTTCAACTCCAGCTGAAATTTACTCCCATACTACATAGGGATTACACTACTGATAAATAGAAATAAATACAAGAAGAGTTGAATTTTTAATTCCAACTGCATTGGATAGATACTGTTTATGAGGGTTTTCCTGCTTTTTCTTTAGGACATGGCGTTTGTTAAGCAGCCTAATCTTATCATGTTTATACAGGACTGCATGGAGGAAATCAACTTGTTCAGCGAGAATAAGAGCCACCTGAAGCAGCTGGGTGAGCAGCTGCTGTTAGCCAGTGATGAGGCTAAGCAGACCCGGGTCCACGGCTCGCTGCTGGAGGTCAACCAGCGCTGGCACAACCTCTTCCACCACATCGAAGCCAGGTGAGAGCAGCCACAGTCGTCACAGAAGCTGTAAGCTCTAAGTGATTTAGGTAGGAGGACAAAAATTGAAGCAAACAATACTGGAAATTAATGACTACGTATTGCAATAATTACAAAGTGTGTGGATGTCAGTGAGCAAGCACTTAGTAAAAGAGTTGTTACATTTAAAAAGTGTGTGTTTAGCTGTGTGTGTGTGAATGGTTTTCTGTTTTGCCGCACTCTATGGACTAAATGTCACCCCATTATTAGACTTACACAGAAGCACCTTTCACAGCGAAGCCACTCTATATTAAAAAGCATCATTAAGAACTAAAAGGCTCTAACTGAGAGCCTGTAATTAAACAATAGCTCTAATGCAGATCCATCCACCTGCTGTTGTGATAGTCGTGCTCTGCAGCTGTCAGGAATACATGGCATCTAATGTACAGACAGTAAGTTAAGCCCTTGTGATGATAAACTGTTAATGCCCCCGACCCTCCTCAGACAGATGGACAGTCCTGTGGAAGGGCTGGAGATACGGGCTTCACTCCTAAACCTGCGCACCCCAGCCTACCCGTCCCACCACCACAGGGAAAAAAGCTATGCTTAGGTCTCAGACAGTACCATATGTCCACACAGACTCCCTCCCTTTTTCTAGTCTGTCAGAGCGAGATGATGTGAGGGAGGGTGGGTTAGTAATGGGAGGAGCCGGGTCTGTCGGCATGCATTAATCGCTGACCCTCAAACTGAGGTTCCATGAGCATATTTCAGAGAGCCTGATCCCATGCAAGATGTAGAATACTAAAAACCCTTGATTTTAATTTTTTCTTGGGGTTCCTTAAAAAAAGTAATCCTCCCAATTAGAGAGAGTATGATAGCCCTTCATTTATTGCACTTTGTTAGAAATCAAAGCTGCCACAGTAGAACCTGTGGTGTATCCCGCAGCAACTTTGGTGTCTTATATCTTTAGTTCACTGGCTAGCAACAATTAATTTTATGCAATGCGAAAATCAAGATGAAATATATATATATATATATATATATATATATATATATACACACACACGAATGAGAAAGCACATGGAGGGTAAAAGAGCAGCACAATTACAGCGTTAAGAGTAAATGTCAGTTGGAGTTTAATCTCCGAGTAACTGTGAGCCCCCTGTGGTTAGCTGTACTTTGTTAACCTTGTCCTCCAACCATATATCCTGACTTATCTTCCAGCTCTTTTCTGCTCCATCCATTCTACTCTGTCCTTTTCCTCACCAAGGACCCCTACCCTGGTTTTGTGTCTTTGTTGGGCCTCCACATGAAGCTACTGGTCTTTGTTAGACTGTCAGAGGTAGAGAGAGAGTGAAAGAGGGAGAGAGATCATTCGGTTGACTAGGATGGTTGTATCTGCAGAGGAGAGACGAGTATATTCTGGACAAAATTTACATCAACTCTATTGTGCCTTCATTACAGGGTCACAAACATAAAGCCACACAAACCTCCACTGACTATATACTGTACATTATTCCTGAACTTTGACAAGAGCTTGGAATCAGTAGAATGTCTTAGTGTTAATCCAACACTTGAGTTTTACCCACAAAATAGAGTATTTTTAAGGAGTCAATTTTTTCCATTTAAAATATTTCTCAACACAAGCTGCTATACATGGACTCCGTCTACGTAAATTAGTCCAGATGATACCTTGTGTTACAGACTTTTTTTGTTAGTACTTTTTTGTCATTATTTTTATGTAGTTGTGTGATACTAATCTGTAGGACTTGAGATTTTTGGATAGTGCATTACCAAGACCAAAACAGACAGTTTTTAATACATTACTTAGTATAATAAGTCTTTTAAATAAATATGATTTCAATCATGTGACCGTTTTCGGTTGATACTCAAAAGTAACAGATCTAAAAGGGCTCTCACACATGCACACAGTCAACTCGTCCCAATGTACGGCATCTGCGCCTTCCTGCCACTTACACTCACTGCAGTTTGTAATGCTTATTATTTTGGTAGAGGGTGTCTCCCTCCCTGCCCTGACAGGCCCTGCTGCTGGACCTCGACAGAGGAGGACGGATCAAATGGGGAAATTAACTCAAACTCCCAAATGGGGCACACTTCAGGCTTTTAAGCCTCAGAAGAGAGCGCTTATTGTCCCAAGCGTTGCTATGACACCCAGTCAGTGTGGCGCTGTGTGTGTGTGTGTGTGTGTGGGTGTTCGTTCACAAGGCGGTCAGTTGTCACTGTGACTTTGGAAAGTAGCTGAGAGCTCTACCTGAGAATGTTTTAGTGAACAGCTTTCTAATACTTGTCTTTCATTCTGTCTTTCTTTCTCTTCCTGTCTTTATCTCATTTTGGTGTCTTTCTCTTTTCTTTTTGACTTTATCTTACTAGTATTTCTGTCTTTTCAATCTCTTCCCTTTTTTGTCTCATTCTTTTTCTTCAAGTTGACTGTCCTTTATTGACATGAATGTTTCATTTAAACAGTGTTGCCAAAATGTCTGAAGGTTCTCAGTCATCCAGGTCATAGTTATCCAACGAAGGTTGAGGTCAGGGGCAACTGGACTTGGTTGAAGATACTAGAAGACGTTTTGTCCCTCATCCAAGAGACTTCTTCAGTTCTGAAGAGAACAACTGAAGAAGTCAGTTGGATCCACATTAGACCTCAACCTTCGTTGGATAGTGTTGCCAAAGCACTTTGCAGCAAAATCAAAAAGTTTACATTTCAATATGTTATAACAAGATAGTGAATTAATGCAATCAAGGTCATTCAATTTAGCAGTTATAAACAAAAATAACAAATTCAGATAGATTGTCTTCTTTCTTTCTTGGACCATGTCCAAAAAACATCAATCTCTTACTAAGAAAAGAGATGCTTTGCCCCAAATTTAGCTATTAGATTCTCTGTCTTCATTTAACTTTTGTTTAAAGGATCAGTGGTTCCCAAACTGGGATTTGGGGCCCCAAATGGGGTTGCAAAAATAAATCTGAGGAGTCAAGAGACAACTTATTAGCACTTTTTTCTATGATTACTGAATAATTTTACCTCTTCGCCTTGCTAAAAATTCCTAATCCCTTTTTAGATAACTTGGTCATTACCCAAACCTATATTCAACCAATGACATTACTTAATTTTAAAGGGTCACATGCCAAAAGAGTTGAGAACCAATTGGTTAGATGTTTGTTTATACACACAATAAATTGGTACAGATGTTACTAATAGTCATAATTGCTTACTTTAAAATTGATTATAATAAAAAATAAATTTTAGTTTCTAAAACTGTGTGTCTGTGTGTGTTTAGGGTAAAGAAACTGAAGGAGACTCTGGTGACGGTGCAGCAGCTGGATAAGAACATGAGTAACCTCCGCTCGTGGCTTTCACGCATGGAGTCCGAGCTGTCCAGACCCATCACCTACAGCGTCTGTCACCACCAGGAGATCCAGAGGAGGCTGGCTGAGCAGCAGGTAGACAGAAACACACACTACACACACCAGTAGTTAATTTTTTTTAAATTTGATTTACTTTTATTATTTATTTGTTTCTGAGTATCTGTTTCTTTGTGTTTCACTCTTCTTTCTATTATGTTTATCTAGGGTCTTTGTTTTTACAGTATTGTTACATTTAAATTTTATATTTCTTGTCACACTTTTGTTTTTCTGTTTCACTGTCACTCCCTCTTACTTTGTCTCTTATGATTAATAATTCATATCTGTCCTTTGTTCAATTTTGGGAGGGGTGGTCTCATGCAGTGAGCTTCTGTCTGTATGTCTGTGTACTGATGTTTGTTTTCATGTCTGTCTGTGTGTCTGTGCAGGAGCTGCAGCGGGACATTGAGCAGCATACGGAGGGCGTAGTGTCAGTAATCAGTCTGTGCGATGTTTTGCTGCGGGACGAAGATGCTGCTGGTGGCACTGAGGTGGAGAACGACTCCCTGCAGGAGACCAGCCACAGCCTGGACCAGCGCTGGAGGACCATCTGTGCCATGGCTCTAGACAGGAGGCTCAGGTAGGAACTAAAACACACACACAAACTGTATGGGAACCTCACACATTTCACTACATATACATGTATATCTCAATCCTTACATGCAACCTGTTGAAAACAGGCACCTTTTTCCAGAAAAAACACCTAAAATTACATACCCAAAACGAATCAGGAATAACTCCTCAACCATTTGGCCTAGATGCATAATTTTGGTCTCCTTTGAAAAGTCAGAAGCTAAGGAATACAAATCCATTGTGTATTAATATAATTATTTTACTTTTACAGACTACATGGAGAAATGAAAAGATCTCATATTTTTATCCTCACCTGGTTAAAAAAAAATAAAGAAGCTATATTTTAATGCAATAAACCATCAAAACCATCCTGAGGAAGCTTTTAATGCAACTGAATATCTTCTAATACACCTATAATGCAATTGTAACTGTAAATCTGATGAAAATAAACTAAAATACAGTTATCATACAACATTTTCAAATATACCTGGCGAATTTCCATATTTTGGCAATATTTATTGTTAAAATGCTGACTTTTATTGATATCTTTAAAACACTTTTTCAGTCCATACAACCAATTTCCAAATGACAAAACATTGAAATATTGATAAGAACAGGAGTATTCATCAACTCCCATGCTTTACAGGCCTGTAGATTGAGAACGGAACAGTGATGGGGATGGTATCAATCGATCCAGCTTTAGCAGACCTTTCATTTGATACCCTGCATGTCTATATATCTCCAACCGACCGGCCACAAAATGGCAAAAAACACTGTGTGTTCTCAAGTGGCATGTTTCTTCTCTGCAGAAAAAGAGGACAGCAGGCAGGCAGCTTGCAGGTATTGCGCAATAATCAAAATGACACCCGCTTAGACTCGGAGCAACAACATAGGCGGGTTTCGCTAAAACGGCGCAATTTTTTTTTTTCAATCAGTAATATGCCCCAGAGCACCATCGCCCCCGATACCGGGGGCGTCTGTTTTCAACAGGTGTTCCACAGTAGCAGAACTTAACTTATTTAGGTTCTTTGTCTATTTCTAGTCCTATTGATTTTACTATATGATTATTACAACTCTGTTGAACACCTTAGGCTGAATTATCAATTAACAGGCTGTAACAGGCTATATAGACAATAGGCAGTACTTAATTTATATCCAGTATGTCACACTACACTCAAGAATTTATTTCTAACCAAATGAATCATTTAAAGATTAAATTTTATGCTAATGCTATTAGCATACATACTATCAAGGCAAGGCTTACTCATAAAAACCCTTATTGGTTAGAAAAGCCTTCTTGATGTCATGTACATGTCTTCTTGTAGGATTGAGGAGACGTGGCGACTGTGGTGTAAGTTCCTCGATGACTACTCGCGGTTCGAGGATTGGCTCAAGATAGCCGAGCGCACAGCTGCCAACCCCAGCTCTGCAGACGTCCTTTATACGGTCGCCAAGGAGGAGCTCAAGAAGTTTGAGGTCAGTTGTGAGGTCGGCAGATGGAACAGACTTGGAGAAGCTGTGTTTTGTTAGCTTGTTTGTTTCTCAAAGTGAAACATTCTCATTGTTCTTTATTAAAGTTTGTGTGACTGAATTTATGAATGTTGAATTGTTGGCTTGACAGGCTTTAAGGGTGTTTGCCTTTATTCTATTGCACAACCAAAACAACAGAAAAACCCTCCTCAAATTGTAGGGACAACTTTTCTTCATGACCAGTCATTGCCACAATGTTCTTTCTGGTCTCTGATAAATTTGTTTTTGGTCTCTCCTACTCCATTTTTCTTTTGACAAAAAGCAAATAAAATCAAAATTTTTTATAATGGCTGAAACTAAAGATTATTTTTAGTATCAATTAAGCTGCTGATTACTTTCTCAGTTAATCATTTGGTCTAAATAAATTGTCAGAGTGAGTGATCACAGTTTCCATGTTTAAATAGCTTGTTTAGTCACACCAGATATTGACTTTGCTTTTGTAAAATACAAAAACCCAGTAAATATTCACTTAGTAGAAGCTGGAAGTAGCTTTTTTGTTTTTACTTAAACTACTTAAATTGATCATTTTAAAAACTACTAATTTCTTAAACTAGTTGTTTCAGCTCTATTTGACATTATGAAGAACATGTAATTGCATAAACAAGTGCAGGTGTGTTAACAAAGACTACAATATTTGGAGCTCTTTTTATTACTCTAAATCTACGCTTTATCCCATCCTCCCCTGTTGTCTTTAGAGTTTCCAAAGGCAGGTTAATGAGCGGCTGACCCAGCTGGAACTGGTCAATAACCAATACCGCCGCCTGGCCAGGGAGAACCGCACTGACCGAGCCAGCCAACTCAAAGCCATGGTGCACGAAGGCAACCGCCGCTGGGACACCCTGCACCGCAGAGTGGCCGCCATCCTCCGCAGACTCAAGGTACAGTGCAGAGGGTGTGAAACAGCACAGCTGTTTAAAACATATGATGAATAATTTAATTAGCTGAGAGGAGAACCTGTTCATTTTTTTCTCCTTTTTTCGCACTTTTATTCATAACAATGTGTGCACCTGCACATACAGTATGTTATACAGTGAGCTACAGTCAAGTCAGTTACTGTGTGTTCTATGTGACTTGAATACAACACGCATCACTGTAGGCACGTACTTATTTAAAGCATATAGTGATGTATGTTGGGGGGGGGGGTTGTGCGTCATATCTCATTAATGAGCAAATTAGTTAGGGTTAGGGGCCATAATGAAATTGTTTTGATGCTTAACAGGCTGTCCTGTTCCAGCATAGCTCAGAAAAGTTAGAAATATTAATTGTGTAATTAGTAATGTTGTAGAAAGGCCAACTGGTGATTTATTAACATGGAAAGTGGACTAAAACAAGCTTCACTGTTCCTGTCACAAAATGACATAAATACATGACCATTGACACTGACATCTTGGGTATAAATCTGGACTGGGACTTTCATTGTCTGCTTCCCTCCTCAGTCTTATTTTATCTTTATATACTTTCTATCCGATTAATTTATAGATCTACAAAACACACCAATCCAAGGGATAACATGGGAAAGTGAAAGACGTATTTTCAACAAGACATTAAATAAAAGATACAAAACATGTGACATAAAAACTAGGGATGTAACGAGACACTTAACCCTCAAGACGAGATTTAAACACTATTTTCAAGAAATCTTTAATGCTACCTCAATGATAAATGAATTCATTTTAATTTAGTAATAAACTCCTGGACTTTAATAGCTCCTGTGTGTCAGCAGATTTTCTGCGCATGTTCAAAACTTTCTGCACATTCAGAATCTCTACCATATAGGCCATCTGTTTTTCTCTGACAAGTCCAGAGAAAAGGCAGAATATTACCAGACTAACATCATCATTTAATGAGAAGTCTACCTGTTGTGCATTGCATGTTATTGACCCGCTGGTAGTAACGTTATCCCCTTGTTGATGATCAGGCAGAAATCTCATCACAAATCTTCACATTTTAACATCAGCAGCTCATAAAGTGCTCACAGTTTCAAACAGAGCAAGGTTGTGCTTCAGTTTAGATGTTTATGTTGCAAAACTCTGTTACCACTCGTCACAGCTGTCTGGACCATTGAATGTGTATAAAAGATCCGGACTCAACGCCAGCAGGTCCAGCTGATTACTATACATTTGTATTTCACTGTGCGAGAAAATTAATGTGTGATAGCGTGTAAAAAAAATTAATTTGCGTGACTCTTGCTAGACAGCTTTTTACCTGATGAGAAATCTTGTCATAATTTAATCTTGCAAGATATCAACACAACCCTAATTATAACATTTTATTTTAGGGTGCTTTCACACCTGCCTCATTTAATTCAGTTGAATTGCAGTAGAGTTCGTTTTCCCCCTTGGTGCAGTTCGTTTGGGCAGGTGTGAATACAGCAATTGCTCCTGGGTGCACACCAAAAGTGGACCAAACAAGTGTACCGAGACCTCCTTGAAGAGGTGATCTCGGTACACTTTCAAACTCTGGTGCGGTTCGCTTGTGATGTGAAAGAAAACAAACCAACCACAGGATTTTATGATAGCAGAGCTGTGATCTGAGCATTATTTCCAAAGCTAAACCACTAATAAATCCATGTGCCGACCGCGAAATGTGTTCAGCGATCTTATAATTGATCTGTATAAGCCATGCTATGTTTATGAAAATCATTTGGTAACGTATGCTTTAAAAAAGGAGAGCAAGTAGCACTCCATTTACCTTTCAGTTCATAGTCCATAAAACATTTGTGACAGTGATACCACAGTATACTAAAGGCTAATAAGCCCCGAATTATTACTGTAGTACTTATCCTAGTTTTACGTTATTATTCATAATAAGCTATGTGATTGATCTACGGTCTAGCATTACTCATCATGCTTATAATAAATTATTACTTCATGAGATCTTTGCAATACAGATCAGAAGCATTAAAGTGCTGCACAAAGTTCTGTCAGTCACTGGAATTTGATTTCCCCACTTGGGTCCTGATGATGCAGGATAACAATCGCAAAAGCTGTCCAATCAACAAGTTACCTGTCAGTGTAACGTCATGATTAATTCTCTTGGCTAATTTGTAAAAGTGCAGTGTGAACATGAACCGGACCAGAACTAAAATGCAACAATGTATAATTTTTCACTTGGTCCGCAGCGTCCACCATTTATCTTCTTTGTTCTCTCCCATTACTCATCTCCCTTTCCCTTTATTTCCTGGCATCACTCGGTTTGCTATGTAATAAGATAATGTCTGTCCTCTCTCCCCTTTTTTAATCTCATCTTTTTCTTCACTGTCCTCGCAGTACTTTACCAGCCAGAGGGAGGAATTTGAAGGCACCAGGGAGAACATGCTGGTGTGGCTGACCGAGCTGGACTTGCAGCTCACCAATGTCGAACACTTTTCAGAGAGCGACATCCATCACAAGATACAACAGCTCAATGTGAGGACATACTGTAACCACACAGATGCTCACACAACCTACACTTGCTTTATAGCGACCGCATAAGGAACAAACTCACTGTGTGAGAAGCTCTCCTCAGTTTGTTCCTAATTTTTAACAAAATACCTCTTTTTAAGCCTTAAGTGTCTTTTTCAGGAGATATAATCTATCATGACCAAAATGTCTTACAAAAATATGTCTTCAGTCACTTCTCTTGTTGTTTACACCATGCAGCCATTAGAAGAACTCCATGTTAAGATGGTTTCTCTTTCAGTACCAGAGCCCGACTACACACATTTTGGTTGCTGTAACATTCTTCTTATTTTCCTGACTGAGTCACTGGTCATCTAACAATCCAACCCTCCTCCTGCAGAGCTTCCAGAAGGAGATCACCCTGAACACAGAGCGCATCGACGGCCTAATAGTGTTTGGAGAGGGTCTGATCCAGAAAAGCTCCCCGCAGGATGCGGCGCTGATTGAAGACGAGCTGGAGGAGCTGCACTCCTACTGCCAGGAGGTTTTCAGCAGACTGGTCCGCTTCCACCAGCGCCTCAGCCAGCCCCCAGTGAGATGGAGCACACATTTTCTTTAAACAACTTGTACAATTGATTAAATTCAAAACTGTTGATGTTAGTTTTGTGAAGTGATTCTTAGACTATGACACTTACCTAAAATGAATCCTAATTATGAGTGACGACAATGTGAGGACATTTCAATGATCCTCACTCATAAAACTTTATTGTTCACACATCTGACTACACTCCTATTATTTTTTTGCCTTAGACAATCAAAGAAGAACCGGAGATCTCTAGTACATCCTTTTCTTTGGAGTCGAGCTTGGAGCTGATTGGCCGGCCGTGGCTGGGGCGGAGCCAAGGAAGCCTCCCGGCCACACCCACCCACCTGCTGGCCTCTCCGCTGGAGCGTTCGGGGCGGGAGACCCCAGTGAGCGTGGACTCCCTGCCGCTGGAGTGGGACCACACCGGAGACGTTGGAGGGTCATCCTCACATGAGGATGATGAGGTGGAGGAGGGGGAACATGAAGATGAGAGAATTTACTTCAGCGCATCAGGTAGATTTATAGTGTCTCACAGGAAAAACATGTAGATTTACGGCACATCAAGGGTTAACACACTCTTTTTAATGTCCTCATTTTTAATGCAGGAAGGGATTTAAATGTCACAAGATCATAAAACTGAGATGTCATAAACAACTTTTCGGGAATAATCCCTTATGTGACTGATGTTTTTAATGGTTGCTGCAAAGGAGACAAGCACATAAAGGGACACTGGAAACATTAGAAAGCCAGGGAGTGTTTGACACGCATGAACACTGGCATGAAATTTAGGCCTCCATTTCTTCAGTCGAAAAACTAGTAAACTAGTTTTGTTTGTTACTGGAAAAGTTCCTGCAGTGGAAAATGATTACTACAATTTTGCCATACTACAATGAAATTGACAAACAGCTGATTTAATGGGATTTTAAAAATATGACAATGTAGCAGCCATTTCTCTCTGTCTCTCTCACACACACACACACACCGACCCACACATCCATACACCTCTAGTCTGACCCCTCTCTCCTCCCAGAGGTGGAGTTGACTGAGAGCCAGGAGGAATATGTCGAAGCCCCAGAGGCGCTACAAGCCTCCTCACTGGGTAGGCAAAAGATCATCTTCACATTCTGCTTAATAAATCCACTCACAGCTCTTCATGGTGAAATCAGTTTCCAGCAAATATCTTCCAGCTGCTCATGTATCACTGGTATCTAATCGCTCGTATTTGCTATAGCTGTGGTTTGGAAAATCCTTCAATGTCAAAGCAAACCCCTTTCTGTCTTTTTATTTCCCTGACACACATTTGTTTAATGGTATTTCTTCATTTTACGCAGTGTGGTCTGAACTTTAAGAAGTACACTAACAGGCTAATGGGTGGGATATAATAAAAGGTAAACCTCTCTAAACATCAAAATAACTGGTGTCAAATTTTTATTATTAGTTTTGGGTCTTTTTTTTTTTTTTTAATAAAACTTGTCACTTAAAGGACACATCAGGTTTTGTGAGGATAGATCTGTCATTTATTTTTCCACATATAAGAATTCGTATGTTTAACTGTCTTTCCCCACCAAACCTCTTATTTTCACCAGTCCGATCTGTTTTGTATTGTTAATTGTAGCTCCTTCCTGCATGACCTTTCATCATCCTCCAACATCCTGTCTTTAATCTACCTCTCTTTCATACTTTCCTCATAATTTTATCCCATCTCATTTCACTCATCTTTGTGAATTCCTTCTTCTTCCTTGTGACCTCCCACACTTAGTTGTACCACATTTCTGTTCACCCACTCCACTCCATTTATTTCTAGACACATCTGTAATAACCCTAAATGAACAAGACCTTTGAGATGATCAGCCACCTCAACTGACCAATGCATTTTACTTAGGTTGCCTTTTGAGGAAAATCTGATTGTTTTACTGATTGTTTTACAGCTGAGCCTTTTTATTCACTATAATTTGCTGAGGTATCAAAATGTAGTGCCTTCATTGTTAAATAACTGGTGTGAACTGCTTTTAAATTTCCCGCTTCAGCTTTCCCTGCTTGGGTCTTGGTGCCATAATCTCTCTCTCCTGCAAACATGTGAAATATGGCATTAAGTAAACACTACCACACGCTCTTCAATTTCCTGAGGCGGGCAATGTACTGAGCGCGAGCCAAAGAACCAAAACTTCCCAGCAGGTTACATTCAGAACCATAAGAGTCTGATGACATGTACCTAACAATTTGTCTCACTCATACATTTGAGACGTACAGTATACCCAAATTATAAATCTTTGGTAGGAAATACTATTAGATTACGGGACTGTGTATTAGGTGAGGGTGTTGTGCATTCATGTCTGTGTTTTGTTTGTGTTTCAGTTTCAAGCAGGTCCATGGCCGCACATGACTCTCCAAGATGGCGATCACAGGAAGACAAGGAAACAGAGTCTCTCCAGCTGGACTCGGAGGGCCACACCGAGGCTCCACCCAATCTCACCAGCACCCCTCTAAAGCAGGGCTATGTATGTTTCAAAAATATCGCCCAGATGATTCCACTCACGTGACATTTAGATTTCACTGTGATTTTACCTTTTATGATTACATGTGAAAAATAAACATGAATGAAGTAAACCAATACCAGTTAACTGGTGCGAGGTGGGAAAAAATGAGTAACTGTGTATGTCTAAAGGAAAGATTGAAATGAATCTGAGTAGATGCTTTATACAAACAGTGCACTAACAGTGTGTTTGTTGCGTTTCCAGTTGCATCTCATGTCTCAGTGCAGCGGCAGCATCGAGGACATTAAAAGAGTCTCACTGATCCTGGACGATGAGGAGCAGCCAGAGGAGCTCGGTCTCACAGGACTGACTGCCTCAGACAAACAGTCAGGTGAGAGACGCTCGTAAGCAAGGTTAATAACGACTGAATGGTTCATAATTCACATTTTAAGAGAGTGGAAACAAGCAACTATTAACATTTATTTTGTTGAGGAAAAAGGACAGAAAAAAGATCTTAACTGTACTACTGCTTAATTATTGATTAAAAAGATTTTATCATAATTTGAATGTTCTCAGATTTGTTAAGTGAGCCACTGTTTGGCATCAAGTGTTTGTCATGGCCTGACCATAAAGAATAGTTTAAAACCACAAGTAACTATCAGGGTTCTTCAACTTTCACTCAGGCGCAAAAATCAGCCATTAGACATTTACCGCGCTAATTATAGATGTAGAATTATGTGAATTTTTTATCGTCATAACATTTTTGGCCATATCGCCCAGCCCTAATAATGCCATGAGTTACTAAGTGGTAGTGATATCAGTCCATATGCATTAGCTCAGGCTACTGATCCTGTGAACAGGGATATTCCAGCTTGTCAGACAGACATTTCTGAGTGTTGTGCTTTGATGTAAAATATTCTGTAAACAGGCCCCATTTGCTGCCATTTCTGTTTGATAAGCTGTAAGATAGGATATCTGCATCCACAGGAGACACAGCTATCGCAGATTCGTCAATATTCAAGAGCGAGTTGTGACAAAAAACAAACAAACACGACAGTACATCAGTAAATGTTGGTGCTCTCTCAGGTGTGATCGAACGCTGGGAGCTCCTTCAGGCTCGGTCCAGGAGCTACCAGCACGATGGCCTTCAGGAACCTCAAGAGCTCATCTCTGACCTTGATGACATCACTTCCTGGTTAGAAGACGTGATCCCAGAGCTAGAGCGCCTCCAGCAGGTGGACCCAGCAGCCAGTGTTGAGGACATGGCAACCAGAGCCAAAGAACTAAAGGTGAAATTTAGGACCAAAAACAACAGTTCTGATGATAAATATTCAGTTTTTGTGTTTATATTCATGTATTTTGTCTCACAGGAGATGCAGAAGACATTTACTCGCTACAAGTCTGTGATGCTGTCTGTCAACCTGCGAGCTCAGGAAGCTCCAGAGCTTCAGGAGAGACTGGCACGTATGAACAGAGACTGGAGCAGAGCGTGTACAGGCCTCCAGCAGTGGGACACCAGTATGAGGAAGACGCTGATGCGCTGCCAGGTCCGAAGAAAATACCAAGTATTTATAATAACCTCAGGGAATGACTTTCTCAAGTGAAACATCTGTTGCTCTGTATGTTTTCTAACTACTGTTTTCTAAGTATTATGGAATGTGGATCAATCGATTATGTTAAAGCCTTAATAGATTTTCCTATTTTCTTAAATGGAGCTTAAATTTGCCAGTCTTATAACATTTTCACTACGTATTTATCTGCCCACAAACAATGATCTGTTTACATGGTAACATAGTGGGTTTTGTTTTACATTTGTTCGACTCTCATTATGGCAGACACCTTACAGTGGTTCAGAGTTTGGGCTCATTTTAGTGAAGGAAATAAAAATACAACTACAGTACTATCATTTCATCATATATTGTGATGAATTTAGGTCCGGACTAGTAGCTCCAGTGATTTCATTTAATGATTCAAGATTTGCATTTTGCACACGTTCTCACCTTTTGATTTTCAAGTGAGTCTTGCAGCATACAGAGAAAGTATACACAGTAACACTCTACTCTGTCTATCCATCATATTAGTCTTACATATACCATAATTCCTAACCACAGCACTGTTCCTATGCTTGAGATAGTACTGCACTATTATTTGCCCCGTAAGCGCAGGAGTGAGTTTCAGTTTAATTGCTCTTGAATAGTTTTTTTTTTTTTATCACATTTGACTTGTCAGTCCAGAAATATAGTTGTAGTATATTGTTGTTGTGTCAAAATTTGCTTAATGTTAACACAAAACTGCTTCTGATTGGCATTAATACTGTAGGAAATAACCTTTACCCTTCTCCATACAGGAGTTCCATGAGACCCTCCACTCTCTGCTGTTGTGGCTGGCCCACGCAGAGAGCAGGCGCTATGCGGTGGACATCAGTCACCCAGACACACCTGTCAGGGCCCTGCAACACCACCACAAGACACTCACAGTAAGCAGACAATAATTAATTAGTTGAGTATTGACTTTCCAGCTAGGATGCACTGTCACCATCTCTAATTTTGTGCTTTGCAGAATCTGCAGGAGGAGCTAGATGGCAGGCAGACTCAGCAGGCCTCACTCCAGGCTTTGTGGTCTCAGCTCCAGCCTGAGGATGAGGCTGAGGAGAGCGACGAGGCCCAGGAGAAACTCCACGTGACCAGTAGCAAACTGAAGTTACTGCTGAGGCAGGTGGACCAAGACCTCAGCACCCTGCAACAGCGCCTGGTAAGAGTTTAACCTTAAAAGTTTTCTTTTAGTCGTGGCAAACAACTATCCCGAAATTAAGAATTTTAAATTGTCCAGCTAATCAATTTAAAACACCTCACAACATGAGAAATCACAACGTACATTTTAACCGTTGATGTTTATTCTTGGTTGACATTTTATTTGGGTTTTATTCCCTTTGCCTAAAGCACAAGAACATAGATTTCTGTATGTTGAAATAAGAGAAATGGAAACATTTGTATGTCTTTAATTCAGGATCGTGAATCATCAGAAGTCCAAGGCCAAAGCACTTCTGCAGATCTTTCTGAGGAGGCCACAAATTCAAAGAAAGGTTCCTCTAGTCAAAGGTATGCAGAAATACATCAATATTTTATTAGTACAATACTATTTCATTGTGTTAAATGGTGATTTGTAGATTGTGTACAAGAGATTGCAACTACTAAAAAGTATTTGCAGGCTCTCCTGATTTTGACTTATGCCCTTATCACTCAGTAGTGTGTATTTGTTTCCTGTAATAAACTTTATCAATGTGTCTTGCAGAGAGAAGAGGGACTCACCCCCACCTCGTTCCTTCTTCTCCCGGGTCCTTCGTGCAGCCTTCCCCCTCCACCTCCTCCTACTGTTCCTCCTCCTCCTGCCCTGTCTTATTCCCATGTCAGAGAGCGACCCCAGCTGTACAGGGGCCAACAACTTTGCCTGGTCCTTCTACCCCATGTTACGCTACACCAACGGCCCACCACCCACCTGATAGAGATGTACTTTGGGTGATCGGACACTGAGAAACACATGCCACCTTTTTTGACACAATAACCACGAGTACAAAATGTCTAACAAAATTTAAATGTTAAGTTGATGAAGCGATTGTCTTCTAAAAAACATCCAAAGTGCAGAAATTGTATTTGAGTGTCTATTTTTAAAGATTTGATCTTATATTTATTCCATGAACAAAACCTCCCATTTGTCTCTATTTCAGTAAGGAAAACACCATGTGTGGGGTAAAAAGAAATTGATATTTTAGTTTAATAATGCAAAGATCTTCCAAGAAATGAATCACTGCATCCTCTTGGAGATCTCCCTGCAAGGAGTCGTACAGTAGATGGGGTCCTGACACTTGGGGAGAGGTAAAGCAGCATACAGTATATACTGTAGCAGCAACTGCAAAGAGGCACACGGTAACAGGTAAGATACTTTAAATATCCTTCAGCTACTGTAGAAGCCAGCAAACATATATTCCACTGGGTAATAAGAGGTTGCAACCAAGTATGATGAGGGGAAAAAACAAAAGTAAAACAGTATTTTCTTTTACATGTTTATATTCAGATATGTCTCCTGCCTCGGTCCTAAAACTCTCCATTTTATGAACTGTTGACATTTCATTTTGTCTAATTTGACCCTGCATACAAAAAGCAGTTCAATCTGTTATATTATGAAACATTGTTTTTTTTACAACAAGATACTAGTTACATTGGAATGTAATCTTTATAAGGCCAACAGTACAAAATGATAGTTTTATACACATCATTGTATATGCATATTTTTTAGATGCTTTTTCTTGAGTAGATTTCGAGCAGAGTACATTTCCATGCCTGTTTAAACACTATAGGATTTAGCAGGATGATGTGTATGTAGAGAATGTAATATAATGCTTATTTATAACTGTAATTGTGGAAATAATGCTCCTAATTAAGTAGTAAACACTGTCTTAATTGTATTTACTCATGATTTTTTTCCCCATGTTCAGAAATGAACCCATTTATGATTTTGAGAGAAAGATACAGTAAGCTTTGGTCAGGGAATAAACCTTTAAAATACACCAAACTACTAAGATGTTTAATTTATGGAAATGTGATTATTTGTATCTTTCCTAGAGTCAGATAATAAGATGTATACAACTCATGATTGTACCTTTAGATACAGAGCTTGAGCCTGGAGGCAGTTGACTTAGTACAAAGACTGGAAGGAGGAATCAGCTGGCCTCGTTCTTTCTGCACTCACTGCTTAACATACATCTCACTTGTTTAATCGGATCTCGCTGTTACACAGCATCTAATTCACCTTAAAATAACAAATTGTTTTACACCAGCGTAGTAGGCAGGTTTTTGGAGTGTGTCTGGCTAACTTAAATGTCCACTTACGAGCTGCTTCCCCCAGCTTCTGGACTTTACACTAAGCGCCTCCTGGCAGTGGTATCAAACTTCTTAAACTCTTGGGTGAAAAAGGCAAATAAGCTCTCTTACAAACAGGTCAAACTATTCTCTTAACTATTTAACGAAATATTCTGGTTAGTTTTAATATTAAAGACAGGATTGAATGTAAAGTAGTTAGGAAATGGGAATAATTTTAATTTATCAAGCCACACCCAGTATGTATCAAAACATTTTAAAACTAATGTGCTAAATACCATAGGGCAACTTAAAATGTATTCAGAGGTAAGAGCAAGTCCATTGGCTTTTTCTAGAGCTTTCGGCCGTCAGTGATCACTAATAAGTCAAAAAGTTGTCTTGGTTACAGTATACACACTGCGTTCGAGGGACACAACAATGACTTACAACATTCCTCACTGGATTTATTCAAATCTTACACTGTTCTTAATTTAATCATGTGTTGCTTTTTTCATCAATCTGGATTTTGATAAACAAGTGGAGAATGTCACTACCTGTACAATATTTTTGCTTTATTTCATGGTGTGAACGAATACTATTTATACATGACAAAAGCGTGATCATCTGCAAATTGCATTTTCTATGCAGAGTGGGACGCTATGAGTCGACACCTGCCATCTCAAATCCCTGAAGATTCCTCTGTCCTTGATTTGCAAGGTGGAGGAACACAATGGAGATAATAAACACATGAAAAGTGACCACCGGAAATCCAGTTAGGAACGCCAGATCCATTATAACAATCTATTCTGGAAACAGAGTACATGGACACAGTGATAGTACAGTTTACAATGTATGGTGACAGTGTGATGGGAGGAGCACTAGGGCTGAACTAGTACAGAATGGGGTAATGATTTCAAAGTCTACATATTTTCATGCTATGCGCCCTTCTGCAGCTATGGCTACTGTGGCGAGTTCTTAGATACAAAAATAACTTTCTTTTTCTTTAAGCAAAACTTGACAGGTATGAGTGCAAAGGTGTCTTAAGAGCAAGAGTGGTTTTAATTGTTGATGTCTTTAACAATAAAGCCAGGACTGTACAGTGAAAAAAGTAATCTGGCCCTCAGGTGTGTGACTGTGCTATAAAAACGCCCTCTTGTGGTAAACAATGGTTTGCTGTGATGCAACAACAGTTCGAAAAAGCCAAAAATTACAAATTAGCTGTCAAAAGAATTAGCAATAACAAATATCTGGACAGAATTCAGACAGTTGATTTCTGGGGTTGAGCGGAAACATTAATGACAACTGACCAATTTCTAGTTTTTATGACGTCAGTCTGTTGACTACAGTAAAGTAGATCTGAGTGCTTAAGTCTGCTTCCAATCTAGCTTCTGTTCTGTTAGCTTTCAGTTCTTAGTTACTATTCCAATCTTTCAGTGGCCTTACTGAAACGTTGTCCGTCTATATATTAAGCTAAATGGGTCTGCTACTGTACTGAACAGTAAAAATTGACCATGTCCTTTTAACCAAGATAAAACAGTATTGTTAGTATTTAACAACAGCCAAAATCCCATGGGAGCAGTTGAATGCTAACAAAATAACTGTTTCATCTCATGTGCCACAGATACGGTCTATCACGCTATGTCATTTTGTATTAAAGGAATAGTTTAACTTTTTAGGAAATGCGGTACACTTGCTTGCTTTTCTTGCCAAGAGTTAGAGGAGAAGATTGAAACCACTCATGTTTGTACGGTAATTGTGGTGCTGCTGGTTAGCTTAGCTTAGCATAATCTATCGTTACCAGCAACTAAAACATTATCTCATTTGTGTTAAAAATGTCACACTGGTTTTTGTACGAATTTGACAAACCTAACATTTAATTAGTGAGCTTAGAGGTGCTGTTTGTCAGATTTTTTAACCTGTTGGAAAGAGCCAGGCTAGCTGTTTCCTCAAGCTTCTAGTCTTTATGCTAAGCTAACCAGCTACAGGCTCCAGCTACCTATTTTACATACAGATGTAAGAGTTGTATTGATCTTCTCATCAACTCAACAAGAAAGTGAATAAGATTTACCAAAATGTCATTCCTTTAAAAAAAAGAAAAAAGAAAAACTCTTCCACTATTATCTGGAATTTCAATTCTTAAACTTTTTAATGGTAAAATGACTGGATGAGAATATGTAGATAAATTAATCATGTTGATGCAAAAATTCTATAAATCCAAATATACCCAGCATATTAAAGTAGTAGCTACCTCAATATAAGCTATATAACAAAATCTCCTTTGCTTGTGTGCTTGTATGTATGTGTATATATAATCTCTCTCTCTCTTTCTCTCTCTCTCTCTCTCATTTCACCCGAGCCTATCCCAATCTACACCTGTGTTTATAAACATGGGCTTGTTTATCTCTTCAGTTATTATTTATACACAGCATTCTCTGTTGGGCCTCCAGAATAATACAGTGGACGATGGGAAATGTGACTGCATGGATTAAATGGTTAGAAAATACATTATTTATCTCATACTGTCTTTATCTGAGATTGTCTGGCTTAGGCCCGTGTCCACCAAAGGGTTTTTTTCCAGCTGAAAACAGCACCTGCTCTTCTGAAAGTGTCCAGCAGGGAGCATTAGCGGGCTCAACGCCCAACGAGGAAAGGACGCTCAGCACCTCGTCACGCTGCTGGCGTTTTCACCATGTTGTAAAAACGCGGTACTCTAATTGCAATGAATTGAATGAATGAATTTCCTGGCCTCAGGAAAAAACGCTTTGATGGATACGGGCCCTTAAGCTTTGTTATCCAGGTAACACTCATCTCAGGATCTGAGTAACATATGAGTGTGCTACTGGCCAAATTATGACAGCAATTGCTTAATCTGTTCAGTGCTGGCTTTTTAATATGTGGTGGTAAGGCAATGAATACTGTCTGCAGAATTACATCTTTAGGATTCAACTTTGAAGATTTGAAAAGGTTCGATAAAGTAGCACAGTGTGTCAAAACTTGAGTTTCCCAGAATGCAGCTGCAGAGTTTTGTGAACTAGTTTGTGCAAGCGTTGAAAATTCATTCCATCGGACTACTGCGGTTCACCTCCACCTGGTGTCCAGGTATTTGAAGGGCAGCTACCAGAGCTGTGTGGCCGAGCAGAGCCTCCCTCTGGTCCTCTGCGTCTTGCTGTGTGGGCTGGTGAGACAGACGGAGCTGTGCATGATGTGGGCATCCAACATCTCCAGCAGCAGGTCATACAAAGGCACCATGTTCTT